TATCACTAGTTTGGTGTGGCCTCTCCGGGGGGTTGGGCTTGACCTTGTTTGTTTTCTTTCCCTTTTTGTGGGGCGAACTCTTTCCACCTTTGCCCCGGAACTCGTTTCGCTGTTTGGGTTTGGGGGCCCCCTCCGCCAAAAGAACAGCCTGTGCCCTCATGCCGCCGGAGGGGGAACGAAGGGAAGAGTGAGAAACATTGCCCTTCGGAACACGTGCTATGTTTCGTTCTTCTTCGCGCATTGGGGAAGCCCCTTTGCAAATAAAGAAGGAATCGAGCGTTTTCCTTTGCAGTTGAATTGAAACTTCCGAAAAGAAGGAACCGAAGGCGTCGTTAGCCACCCGCCTCCCGCGTTCCCCTTCGCGGGCCAGGCGTTTTTACGTTCTGACCTCTGGAAATGCCATCCGCGGGATTACTCTCCGAGGCCACGTGGCGCCCACCTTGTGGTCTTGCAGTGCCCTGTCGATGGCCGCCCCTTCACGATCCAGCGCGTCCGAGTGAGCGCTGTCTTTTGCCATTGTGTGCACCACGGCCGCGCTACAAACACGTATGCGCAAAGCCCCCCACCCCAGCTTGCGGCGGCAAGCCTGCCGAGCCACGCGGGATTCCCTACACCGCGCCAAAACGACGATGCACCTCGGCATGGGGCCAGCATTGCATCCAAGAAGGGGATGCCGTGCCCGCGCCCGCCTGCTGAAGTGGCCAACCCTCTTCCCGTTTGCGCGCGGCCGCCTCTTATATATGCGTCTGCGTCGCGAAACGCTGTGGCCTTTGGGGTGAGGGTTGTGCCCTTTTCTGCCCCGGAACAAACCGGATCCACGACGGGCTGCCCCACCACTAAAGGCGCATCCCATCCGCGGCGTTAACTCCGCGGGCTTGTTCGATGTCCCGTCCCAGCGGCCAAGATAACGCACTAAACCCCGAGGGGGGCTCTAGTGGGCCCGCGCGTTTTGCAAGCTGCGCCTGCTAGTGGGGGCCCAATTCGTGTTCCACCACGGCCGCTTCTGCCTGCGCCGGNCGGATCCACGACGGGCTGCCCCACCACTAAAGGCGCATCCCATCCGCGGCGTTAACTCCGCGGGCTTGTTCGATGTCCCGTCCCAGCGGCCAAGATAACGCACTAAACCCCGAGGGGGGCTCTAGTGGGCCCGCGCGTTTTGCAAGCTGCGCCTGCTAGTGGGGGCCCAATTCGTGTTCCACCACGGCCGCTTCTGCCTGCGCCGGTGCTTCTCTTTTTGATGGGCCGGGCTTTCATTTCGCAGAGGCGGCGTGTGTTTTCCATGCCGCTGGTGAAGCTTGATTTCGCCCCAACGACCGGCGGTCACCCAAGCCAGCCTGAAAGCGACCCGGCCCCTCTCTTCTTCTAACATCCCGCTGGCCATGCTGAGCCCCCGACGCAACATGGGCCGCGCTTGTTTGACGGAATCGCTGGCCGTAGTCTTCCGGAGGCCGGCGCGAATCATTTGCGCCGGCGTTCGCCATGCTTCTGACAGGCTCGGCAACGTTGTTGTGTACTGAATCGCGNCTTGTTTGACGGAATCGCTGGCCGTAGTCTTCCGGAGGCCGGCGCGAATCATTTGCGCCGGCGTTCGCCATGCTTCTGACAGGCTCGGCAACGTTATTGTGTATTGAATCGCGCTGCCCTTGGCCAACCGAAGACTTACGGCAAGCAGGGGGGGGCAGTTACTTCCAGGAATCTCCAAGCCGTGCGCCGCCGCAAACCCACGAAAAACGGCATATTATGGGCCCCCTTTGAATCCATGCCGCGCGGCTCCGCATGCGCGTTGCACACCTGTTTTTCCCCGATGCGAGGGCCAAGACGTACGGGTCGCGGTTCAGATCGGGAATAATGGCGACGTCGTTCGCCGATTGGGGGCAACCCTTGCGCAACATCGGTGTGCTCTCTGCTTTTGCAACCCCGGGCTTCCGAAAAGGGGTTTAAGCCTCGGCAACTCCACCCCGTTCCCACGTTTGGTGGAAAAACACCGTGCCCACATCTATTCCCGCGGTGGGTGAAAGGCAAAATGTTTTGGCCTCGCCTAAAATTTCTTTTGCTATACCGGCTATGGCGCGAGGGCCCCCATAATCTGATGCCCCTTGAATTCATTGTTTCCGGGACCGATGATCTTTTTTATAGTTGCGGAGGGGCGCGCTATATTCGCATAGCGGGTGCTTCTGTAATGGCCAAACTCCCCGCAGCGATAGCACCGCGCTTTGGTTGATTGGGGGCGCGGTGTGCTTCTACCTGGCTCTTTGAACCGCCTGTGCGATGGGATCGTCCTTCACCAAGGGTTCCAAAAATGCCCCCCCCCCCTACCCCCACGCTTTTCATCCCATACCCTGTATTCCGCGCCGCCCCCTTTACACAACACACCGCCCAAGAAAGCCGGTCTGGGGCGGCCTCCGTCCACTAGCCTGCGGTGGGTGTGTTGAATAAATTCTGTTGGGGCAACTCTTGCGTGAAATTCTGCGGGGCGGGGGGCGGCGGTGTTGCCTGTCGCGCTCCGAATCCCTTCGCTTTTGGGGGCTGCCTCCAGTTCCGCCCGCGTTTGCCGCAACTGTTGATGCATCCGGGCCAGTTGGTTCTGCATATCCTGGAATGGTGTGTTGGGGCTTTTCTCTATCTGAAACGTTCCATCCGCCAGCCGGGGCCGTTCGCACTGGCACCGGCGTCCAAAGAAAGATTCTTACGTAGCCAATGCTGCCCATTTGGCGCTCAGCACCGAGTGTGCCTCCTCAAAAACCCGAAGAAACCCCTGATCACAAGGTATTGTGAAGGAGGCCATGGGGTGGCGCAGGGCTCCCCAGGTGAACGCCTTATTCTGCCCCATGCGTGCCTCTAGCCTGCCGCGCCATCCATGGTGAAGGCCCCATCGATGTGATACTGAAAATCCGGGGATGCCCGGGGGGCTAAAAAAAAAAAAAACTCTTAATATAGAATTCATGGTTTCAAAAAAGTACGCCGATCGGGACTCGAACCCGAGACCTTCGCCGTGTTAAAGCGACGTCATAACCACCTAGACCATCAGCGCTCGTTGGAGCATTGAAATATACAAATAAAACATATACTATTTGAATCCTATTCTTTTTTCCTACTCCCATCGGGGGAAGGGCAAAAAAAGGAAATGGTTTTTGTTTTGAACACAAACACTAGGAGTGTTTGCGAAAAAGAATCGCAAACGGAAGGGTTCGAACCTTCGCGTGAGATCACACCTGCTTAGCAGGCAGGCGCCTTAACCACTCGGCCACGTTTGCTCGTTAAGGAATATAGGTTTTACATAAAACTATTAATATAAATATTTTTAGGTTTTTTTTTTCATGATGCATTTAATTTTTTGGGGGGGTTCTATATTACTTTTTCATATTACTTGCAATTTTCGTTGGATGTGTTCTCGGTAGTATAGTGGTTAGTATACCCGCCTGTCACGCGGGTGACCCGGGTTCAATTCCCGGCCGGGAAGCTTTTTTGAGCCGATGTCATGGTTCGGGCCCTCGTCCTGAGGGGGCATGCCGCGCACCAATGTGTCCTTCGTGTGTTTTCGGTAAAATGAAAAAAGTGCTCTTGGTTCCTTTCATCCTGTTGTTGTTTTCGTTCTTTGAGCCTTGAGAGACGGGGACAGTGCCTGAAGCGTTCCGGATGGCGCATGAAAGGGAGCACCTTCCAGCCGTGAGACAGAACCCCAAGAGGGCGGTGGAGGGGGCAGACGCCTCGCCGCAAGCACCCCGCCACACAGGAGTGGGTGATGCTGACACTCTCACTGCTGCGCATGATGACGCGTGGCAAGAGAAGCGACAAAACGATGGCAGAAATTGTGGACTGAAAGTGCATCAGCCGAACAATCTTCTGCCTGTGAAGAAGGGGTCGTGGTTGTCGCCTATATTACCTGGAGGCACACCACGGGGGTCCACACACTCCACGCATATCGGTGTAGATCCAGTAAGCTCACATAGCTCCTCTTCCCAACCTTGTCACGAAAGTGTTAGACCGCACAGTGCCTACGTGCGCGTTTCACAGGCTTGGCAGCAGCTTCGCCCGGCAACAGCGGCGGGCACCAGTTGTCGCCCGTATATTCTTCCCGCGGGCAAAACCGTAGGAAATGACTCCCCAAGGCACATGGAGCCTGCGGCCGGAGTGGGTAGCATCCCGGGAACGCATGTCACATCTGATGTTTCTTTGGCACTAGAGACTCCCAAGACAGGCTCTCCGCACGTCAAAAAGCAAATCTTCACTGACAGCTGGGCATTCCCCCCACAAGAAGAGGTATCGAGTGCGTCGCTGACGCTATGTTCGACGCGGATGACACCGGGTATGGATGTGCAAGGTTTGCCTGCGCCAGGTGTCAGTGGTGCAAGAAAGCCGTATACGGAGGTTAAGGGGGCGACGAATCTCCCGATGAACTGCAATGATGAGCTGTCTCCCGGTACGTTCCGTATTGGGGGAACGAGACGTTCACCTGTACAAGCATGCAGTTTCCACCAGTGGGTTATGAACCAGCAAAAACAGAGGATGACAAAACTCGTGTATGAAAAACACTAGAATAGTTTTTCTTTGGAGATTAGCAGGGAGTTCCTTTGTCATGTAAATAAATGTGTGTGAGAAATTGTCGACATCATAAAACACAGACTTAGGCATAATCCCGCTGCACAATTCCAAAATTCTGGTCTCCCCCGTACATCCTTTGTCTATCATATCTTTCTGTATATTCTTTTAAGCTATTTCCGCAAATGCAATAATAATTATGCTGCTGGACTGTGTTGTAGTATTGATTCTTGTTTTGGAGAAGGGGATCTTCTGCTATTTCTCTTTCCTACACTGTTTTTGCTTCCCGGAAATATGTGTTTTGCTTTATTTTCAATCTATCGTGGTAAAGAAGCTCCTAGGTATTGTCAACTTCGTCCATTCTACGATGTGTGCCGTGGCGTAGAGGGTCATCGCACCGGTTAATGAAATAACATACGTGTGTAGCCGCTTCCCTTTTCCCTGTGATGGTGCCGCTGGACTGCATTCAGGAGTTTCACACATACCATGGGCCGCAACTGCGGCATCACGTTGGCTAGAAGCGCTTCACATACGTCCAGAGGGAACTCTCGACGGTGTACTTCTGGCCCAACAGTTATGATATGCTGACGGGTGCAGTAGAAACGATTGATGGAGTAGAGCTGAATGCGCGCATGGCTTTGCGTTACCAACTGAGTCTGAATTTCCTACACTACCTGCGGCCGTGACGGAACTATGATGACGTTGGTTATGAGGCATCACATCGTCAAGTGTTTCTCGAGGCGGTACCGTTTTAGAATAATCTCTTGATGTTGATATTGTGCTTGCAAGCGCGTTACACGGTGTTTTGCGGTGTGAACGTTTGCACCTGAGTAAAGGACCTTTTTTTTTCGAATTTTATCGCAAGTGCATCCATGAATGGTGCAAATGGATCTTGGGGCAAGGGCGATATCGTGCTCATCGACTACTACACTTCAAGCGTGAGGAATACGCTGTAGAAGCTGTTCGACGTGAGTGCCAGAGGCCCATCGTTGATTGTTGATAACGTGGTTGTTGGCTGGGATATATTTTGTTGGATGAGTCTGAACGAGTTGCACGGCATGGGTGTGCTTCATTGCGAAGATGTGTGGAATGGTGTTGTAGATTTGGAGGTGGGTGAATGAGGCATCCTTCCCCGTTGTTCTTCCTGCGTGGACGATATTGAGCCGTCTCGACGATTTCTTCTTAGGCATTCTTTCTTCTTACTTGCTGCTGACAGGCTTGATTTCTACAAGGTACATAAGCCGTCGAGTGGACGCAAATGGTACTTGAGCATGCCCCTGTGACGGGGCTTCTCCTCGGTATCTCCGCACTCTCCACAACCATTACGCCACGGCACTACATGACGCTGCAGCGCGCGTACGTGTTACCAGGGTGGAAGGCGACCATCAAGCGCCTCCCACTGGGAGTATTGCCCTTTGGTTCAATTGGAGTGTCTTTCACGGATGTGGTTTGCGCTGTGGTACTACTGTTTGAGATGCGAACACTGGAACGTCGCTGGGGCTCTGCCCAATTTCTCGCCTTTGTCATGACAGCCGCCTTGGCTGGGTCCGTGCTGCTGAACATTCTCATCACCGAGTCCACCCCACCGCTCTCTTTGGAGCAGCTACGTGTCCTGTCGGCTGGTGGGTCGATTGTACCATTCGCAGCTTTCGTCACGTGCAAGCTTATGGAGGTTCCGTCGCTTCACCATTGGCGCATTCCCGTTACGTCAATTGTACTAACAGAGAAAATGTTGGTTCTTGTACCCCTCCTGAGGCTGGTTTTATTCCCTGACACAGAGGTTCGCGCGCGGACACATAAGCAGCATGCTGTTCACGTAGATATCGGTCTTTGGACTCGTGTGATGTTGGCTCTCTTTGGTGTAATATTGAGCATTGCCTCCAAAAAGTCGCGGGTGTTCTCCTGGTGGCTCCGTTTCGTCAGTCGTACCATATGCAGCTCATTCCTTAACTTTATGCAGCCCGTTCTCTCTGCCCTATTCGGTCCCCCAAGCGTTGTGGAGCTCACCATTCCCCCGCAATCCCCGGGTAGACACACAGCGACAGATGGCCGCTACGCCATTGATAACCTCGCGGGGCCACAAGAAGAAGGAAATATCCACCTGCACCGTGTCTATTCCTCTGAGAATGCAGCCCTCAGGGGTGGATCTCTGCGCCGGCGCCGCGACACGCCCTCTGATCACAGAAGCACTGACGCCTTTGGCGGCGCAGGTGCGGTAACAGATGAGCGTGTCGCACAGATTATGGACCTTGGACTGGGCTTTGAACCGGAGGCGATCCGTTCTGCTTTGATTGCTGCTAACGGCCACGTGGACGTCGCTGTTGAGTACCTTGTGAATCGTGACTAGATTGGGGAAAGTCAATGACTCACTGGTGTGTTTGGAACGGCCCTGAGAAGAATGATTTATATGTCATATTCACGTGCTTGCAAGGAGCGAAGAATTAGGCACCCTTCTCTTGCGGAGAAAACTGAGATCCAAACGGTATTTCCTCAGTCCTCGCCGTCTTAAGCGTGTCTCTTCTTGTGTATCTGTGTGTGTGTGAATCTATGTGTGTGCAGAGCTTTCTCACTGTTCTCCGTCTCTTCCACTATTATATCGCAGGTACTGCACCTCACTGTGTGTGTGTGTGTCTTTGGTGCGATGCAGGAATTGCACTCGGCGGTGCGGCAGGTGCTTCTCTTTCATCCAAGCACCGTGATGAATTATGGCATAGCAGCCCTCACTGTCTCTTCAAGTCCGAACGAAAAAAAAACTGTCATGGCAGAAGCGGCGGAATTCCTCGTATCTCAACTCATCTTCGTCCTGTCCCGGGGTCTGCATGAGGGAGTGGACCTCTGGTCCGTGCTCGAGACACTCGAACGTGTGCCGAACAAAATCGCCCAGGAGGATGCGAGCAGCTCTGCCAAGCAGGCACTGCACCGCCTGAAGTTCTCGGGACAGCTGATCTACGTGGTCAAATCAACCTTCGTGCGTAGCACCGCTGAACTGCGTACCCGAGCACTGCTCCGTCTGGCGCTGAACCAGGGTGTCCTCCTCGCAGCGCTGGAACTTATTGCGCGCTGGAATGCGGCGGAGTTAGTGGTCTTCTACACCGATCCCGCTTCTAGTGTGTTGTGCTGCGTTGACGACGATCTCTGGGACATGTTCCTCAGGGCATGCGCCCCAATCGGGGGCGTGACACTCGCTGATATTGAGGCTGGTGTGCCGAAGGGCGCGTCTGTGGTGAAGTTTGACATGAAGTTGGCGCTCCCGGGCGTGGACGCCGACGACGTGGCGTCCAGCACCCCTTGCAACGACGATGCAGGTGAGCGGGGGTCGTCGAATGGCGGCGCGACGCCCGTGCAGATGGCGGGGCCGGTCGATCATGGCGACCCTCTGCATGTGCAGCTGCTACCTCTCGGTGGCCGCGCACCAAGGAAGCCGAGACGCAGACGCCGGCACAGGAGGGGTGTGAGGTCGAGAAAGACTGCACATGAAGAAGTGAATAAAGAAGTGGAAAGAAAAGCGCTTGCTACGCCACCGCCTCTGGTAGAAGAGGATGTCACGTCTGAAGATGTGGCTAGCCTACTTGACCATGTGGAGGCGCTCCTTTTGGGGCAATGGGGCTATCTTAACACTGCGATGTCTGTGCGGGAAGCTTTGCTGTTTGAGGAAGCAGAACATGGCTGATGGATAGACCTGCTTTTTTTTCGAGTCAGTTTTTTTTGTTGGTGGATTCTTCTTGCTACGGCTGAGCATCCTACCTTGGCGCCAGGCTTCCGGGTAAAACGGCAAGGTTGGTTTCGTTTTCGTGAGTTGCACTTCATGTACTCCTCATTCCGATATTTTGTCCTTTCGCATGGAGCTGTAGATAGGAGCGCCATTAATCAGAAAAGTTACTTGTGTCCACCGGCACCATGAACAGCAATATGAAGGTGGTGCAGAAGATGGCGCAGTTGTGTAAGCAGCACCCAAGGCCCGTTATGGCCGCTGCAGCTGCTGTGGGTGGCTACGCCGTCTTCAGGACAATCATGTTGATGTGCGCTGTCGGCAAGCAGATCAGCGCTCAGGTGAATTTCAAAAACCTCGAGCGGGATACAGTTCATCTGTTCATTCATCACCGCTGGTCGCACGGACCTAACTACTTCCCGGCCTGCCTCAAGGTAGAGACGTTCCTGCGCCTCGCTAAGATTCCGTACACAGTGCACTTCACCTCGGACGCTTCCGCCTCGCCCACAGGNCGGCTTCCATTCATCGTCTACAACGGCACTGTCATTGGTGACAGCGAGTTTATTGTACAGTTCCTGAAAGAGGAATTTAAGGTGACTATGGACGACCATCTCACACCAGAGGAGCAGGCCATAGGCCTCATCACGCGCCGATTGGCGGAAACGTCGCTCAACTACGGCCTGCAGCGCACCATGCTGGTGGATCGGCCGGAGCTGATGCAGGACGTCTTCGCAAAGGAGTACCAACTTGACCCTACAATGGCGCAATCGCTGGTACACAGCATGCGGGGCACCCTCATAAAAGTGCTCAACACCATCGGATACGGCAATGTGCCGCAAGAACAATACCCGCAGGAGTTTCTGCGCGAGGTGGAGAGCCTCGAGACACTGCTGAGTTTCAAACCGTTCCTTCTTGGCAGCAAGCCGACAAGCTACGACTGCGCCGTGTACGGCTGGCTGCATGTGGCAGTGGAGATTGGACCTCACGGCCCGGCCATGGCATACCTGTCAAAAAGCAAAACGCTTCGTGAATACGTCGCACGTGTGACAAAGTTGGCGTTTCCCGATATCAAAGAACTCAACACCTTGGATGAGACGCAAAGATTTATTCCCTACAAAGAGAGCGCATCTTTGTAGACCAATTGGGTATGGTCTTCTTCCGATTCATATTGATCGATAGGAAAGTGTACAGAGGTCGTGGCGGGACGAAACGCAAAAAAAATTGTTTACACTGCTCGCTTGACGCCCATTGTCCCCCCCCCCATTCATTCAGTCATTGTATACAATGCTGTCAATGCCCGGATCAGATTCCTCTATATGTGCCCTTCAGGAATCTACACTTTATTTTTGCTTTTGGAAAGAAATCAGTTCACTTGTCTTCTCACCGCTTCACCTTCTCATGTCTCAATACCACACTCTGCACCCGCGCGGGGAGGGAAAGAGAAAAAGAGAGTCTGTCTTTGTGTATCAACCAAGAGGAATAGCTACACTTCAAAGCAGCAACTAAAAGAAGCATGTACCCCGCTGGTTTGGTGGTCACTACGGTAGGGACGGCGGCCGTCGTGGTCCCGATGATGTTACTCGGCAAGAGGGCGGAATGGCAGAAGACCATGCCGCATGTCCACTTATTGTCTGTGAGGGATGCCACTCTCGCGTCAGTGGGGGGCTTGTTTACAAACAATACAACAGAAACGATCAGTGATGATACCGTTGAATCCTTGCCAATATCCAAGCTCAAAGAAACTGATACGGACTTCTTAGTGGGCGATGCAGAAGCTGACACAACGGAATCATCCGATACGGAAGTCCGCAGGAGTCTCAGGGTGTCGGCGCTAATATCAGCTATAAGAACTTCTAAGCCTTTCACAGCTGCCGTCTCCATTATCGGTTATGTGACCAAGCCGTTCTCAATTGCCGCCTCCAATGTAAGTCACGCGAGCAAGCGCATGGCTGAGCGTACCATGACTGCAGTGGTGTGGGTTCGCTCGCACCCATTCATCATTGTGGGGACAACCACCGCCGTGACCGCGACGCTGCTCAGGGCACGTATTGCCTATACACGCTTCATGACAAGGAGGCTCATGATGGCGATGGATGATTCGGAGAAGGTGCAGCTGTACATTGCGCCGCGCTCAGGGGCTGCACTTTGTGCCTCAATGCCATGCGTCGCGGTGGAGACGTTCCTGCGCCTCGCGAAGATTCCCTACGATGCGCACATCATCGCTGACCCCGCTGTGTCTCCTACAGGGAGCCTTCCGTGTATTCGATATAAGGGCAACTGTGTGAGCAACTTTAGCCCCATCATGGACTGCCTCAGGAGCACCTTCAAGATCAGACTGGACACTCATATCGGCAAGCAGGAGATGGCTATTGGCACCGCACTCGCAGCAACGCTTAACTACTCTGTTAGGCGGGCCTGCGACCGCCCCCAGACTGTACATGTGGTAGCGGCACTGCAGCAGATGCTTTCCAAGCTGCAGCGAACCTTCTCCACGTGGCGCTACGGTGTGCCGGACCAGAGCCAGAGCAAATGGCAGCTCCTGCTGGACTTCCAGGCAATTGAGCACATCATCGGCAGCAAGATGTACCTGCTGGGGTCGTCCCCTACTTCATATGACTGCGCCGTGTACGCAGCATTGCTTCCGCTTGTTGAGGTGAATGAGACGGCGCACGCCCGGGATCCTTTCACCTACGTCGCGCATAGCAAAGTACTGACGGGCTACGTGCGGCGCATGTCACACACCGTCTTTCCTGACCTTGATGATTTGGTCAAAGCGTAGTGAAAGAAAAAACATGCTGTCAGAGTCAGCGAAAAAGTGTTTGGGGTGTGGGGAAGGTCTGTATTTCGGGGGGGGGAGGGGGGGCTTGTTTTCCTTATTGTCTTTCAAATACGTGACGAAGGACCCAACACAAAGAACGCGTATTTCTTTTCTTTCCCCTTCCTTCTGTGTGGGTGTGTATCTGTATGTCTATTTTTCCCTCTCTTCCGCCGCCCATTCTCCTCCTTGTTGCGCAAACGTGCGTGTGTGTGTGTGTGTGTGTGAAATGCCTCCCATGGCCCCACGCATGTCTCACTCGTCCACCCTGTCTCGTGCCCACTCATCACTCACGCTCGTTCACGGGTGTGTTGGGGATGCAGCACCCGCATCCACGGCAACAAGAAGGAGGCAGCAAACGCAAGGGAAGCAAGAGATGGAGGGTAAGGAGATGGGTTGTGGTGTGGGTCACTTTGTTTTGCTTTCTAGCAGTTCGAGCTCAAAAGTTGATTTCCTTTGCGATTTTCTTATGTATGCCTCTACGCAATTTGATGCAATAGCTCCACCGGCCCACATATGCTCCAAGCAAAGGAAGCAATCCGAGTGCGGACGTAGAACTGAACGATGGGTTAGTTATTGATTTTTAGGAGGTGAATTTTCTCGTTATAGTGTGTGCACACAGATCGTGCACTTAGCATCGTTGTGTTATGGGTGGTTGTTCCTTTTTTTTTCTCTGTGTGTCTCTGAGTGGCTCGATCAAATAGGCCGCTTTTTTTTTTGTTTCTCGTTGTCTCTTTGTTTTCCCCCACCCTCCCTTACACGAATTATTGTGGATCGGACTCTTTCTGGGCTCCGTGTATCATAACTGTCCTCACTCTGTTTCATCGCAAATCAAGCGGTGTGTCGATGAAGGAGGAAACGCTGCCAGAAAACAAGAAAACAAAAATTTATATTAAATTCACGCTGCTACGGCGGGCCGCTCCGGTCCACTCATGCATGCACACATTCTGTCTCGTTCACTGGCTCAATTCCCTTTATTCGTACCACATGCCTCCGCATCCTTTTGGTTGTTGTTGTTCACCTTTGTCTGCAATAAGGTTTCCGCTCTGTCTTATTATCATCAATAGATGTGTCCCATGGGGAAGGGCAGGGCAATTATTATTGCTGCTGCTGCTGTCACGGTGAGTGTTGTGCCCGTCGTCGCGGGTTGGCTAGCTCTCAAGTCTGCTGCAAGAAAACGCGAGCTGCACGCCGCCGTTGCGGAGATGGAGAAGGCGGAGGGGAATACTGTCCACCTCCTCTCCTTCCAGCGGTGGGAACTCGCTCCCAGCGTTTCGCCCCCGTGCACTAAAGTTGAGACATTCCTCCGGCTCGCAAAGATCCCGTACGAGGTGCACGTCGTGCAGGACACCAGCGTCTCGCCCACAGAGTGTCCGTCGTGTATTGTGCACAACGGAAGGCGTATCGAAGATTTCAATGCCATCGAGTACCTCACCACCGAATTCCAGGTGGAAATGGATCAGGTACTCACAGAGGAGCAGAAAGCGATTGGAACGTTGATTAAAAGCATGCTCGAGTACGAGTCGCGCGTTGCGTACTACCTCACAATTACCGGTGATGGAGCGCATTGTGTCGTTTCACACGCTGCTCGCGTGTTCGGCCTCCCACGCGTCCTTGTCATGTTATTTGTATGGAAGCTGCGTGGAAAGGTCCTGCGTATCGCTGATCTTGTGGGCCTGAGCCCCAGTAAGGCGCAGTACGAGGCGGAATACCTGCGTGACTTCCAGGCGATTGAGCACATCATTGGAGATAAGGCGTTTCTCTTCGGTGACACGCCTTCCTCCCTGGACTGTGGGGTGTACGCGGCGCTGCTACCGATCGTCATGCTGCAGGAGGCAAGGCAGGTGAGTGCGCCATTCGCATATGTGGCGCAGAGCGAAGTACTGACGGGCTACGTGCAGCGCATGTCACGCGCCGCCTTCCCCGAACGTGACAAACTGCTGGGATAAAAGCTGCACGTTTAGGGAATTAAGGCGAATCACGCGTGAAGTGGAGTTGCGGTGGCTGAAGGGGACGGGGCAATTGCTGTCTCGTAGTCAACCTCCTTCTGGAAAACGAATGACACACATGCTTAGGGAAATCCAAGGTGAGCACTGGTCTTGATAGGAAAAGACGTATGCGATGTGACGGGGAGCTAACGAGGGGAAAGGGGGGGAAATGTTTTTGTTGTTGCTTGGCGGTGATGTGCGCGCAAGTGTGGGTGTAGCAGCCAATCGTTTTGCACGCTTTTCTTTTTTTAGTGTTGTGCATGCAAATAATGTTCCTCTCTCGGTGGGTCTTGTTTTCTCTGGGAATGGCCGGTGTTGGTGCAAAACGTGGGAGGGAGGGAGAGTAAGACGGGTGGAAAGGTCCCGGCCTTCACCCCAGTTCCCACCACCAGTGTGTGGTGAGGGGAGAAGGGTGAGTCCGTGTTGTTGGGGGAGAGAG